ATTATCTATGGTATTCAGTCAATTTTCAAGGGATCAGGCATTAGGCATGCAGAGTTCACAAAAGAGATCTGTTCTGCTGTTATTTCCAACCTTACCAGGAGATGGAAAGTCATAGAATCATAGAATTCCCTGAGCTGGAAGGAACCCACGAGGATCATCAAGTCCAACTCTTAGCCCTGCACAGGACATTCCAAGAGTCACACCATGTGTCTGAGAGCATTGCACAAACACTTAAACTCTGTCAGGCTTGGTGCTGTGACCACCTCCCTGGGGAAACCATTCCAGTGCCCAACCACACTGGGTAAAGAACCTTCTCTTAATGTCTAACCTAATCCTCCCCTGACAAAGCTTCAGATTACTTCCAAGTCCACTCATTTCAACTCAGATCTGGTGTCTCTGCCAGGTGTTGGCAGTGACTCTCAAGTAAAGTGGCAGATTCTATGGCATTTCAGATTTGAGGAATAACTCACAAGTTTCTGACAGCATTGTTTCTTTGGAGTAACAGCCCTTCGAGACCCTGGGGCAGCCTATTGTGACTCACTACTGTTTGCAAGTGTTGGGTTTTGGGGGCTGTGTTTTTCCTTTTTTTTTGTTTTGTTTATTAGTTTGGTTCTGTTTCCAAAGAAGCATAACACTAGTTTCATGCTTCCAGGACATTAAACCATACCAAGGAATTTTTGTCTTGCCCTTTATGTCTTTTTATTCACTTTTGTCCTTACTAACCAGGACTGCAAATATTTTAGCAGCCCAGAGGTTCTCATTTGAGTTTTCTTTTAACCAAAAGCAATAAATGCTATTTTGTAATAAAATAATGCTAAATTATTATACCCTTGCTCTGCATTCTTTCTATACAAAATTTTTATTCTTTTGTGATTTTCATTCTCTGCCAGAACATTGGCTGCACATTATAGAGGGTGTGCTTATCCAAGCTGTGCATAATGATGCACACTGACATTCTGGGACCCAGATTATCCACTCGGTGCATGTTAATGCATACCTGGACTTCACCCAGGGATGAGCTAAACAGCTCCTTTTCTGAGGAAGCCTGACAAATTATTTACTGCTTCTTGAGGTTCTATCCCTCTCTATTCTGTGTCAGTACCAGAACTCTCAGGTTTGTGTGGACTCCAGTGATTTCATTCTTGACTTCTGTTTAATCCTCTCCTTATGCCAGTCATCTCCAATGAGTGACAGAGACCTGTAAGATCAGGATTTCCCATTCATATAACTGAGGGTTTCCTGTAGCATGTAGGATATGGGAAATCTATACCATTTCTGTACAGAACCAGACTGTCTGGAAGTCATACAGGTGCTATTAATGAGTAGCATGGAAAGACAGATCAGTAAAATGGCATCATGTGCCCTCTCCATGACAAATCCAACAGCAGATTTGTAGCACCAGGCTGGTTCTGTAGTGGTAAGGGATCCAGGCTTCATGCTGGCACTGTTCCTGCCCTGGAGAGTGAAAATGGGGGTTGTGGGGTGAGCTCACACTATAGCACAGATACCAGTTTCTCCCCAGGACCTCTAATACAGAGTTTTCTTTCCTCTTGAAACTCATTCTCTCTGGCTAAAGATCCCATATCAGGCAGGTTGGTACTGATGACCTGGAAGGTTCCTTCCAACCCACACATTCTATGATTCCATGACCAGCTTCACTGACCAATATCCAAACTGGAAGAGACTAATTCATACTACAGTTTTAAGACCTAGGGCAACGACTACGGTGGAAAACTCTAAGGTTTTGAAAATCAGTTTATTATTGCCTACATGCTAAAACTGTGTAGCTTCTAATTGTCATTCCTTATGCATAAGGAAAGTTGTTACTTCCACAATCCTCACACAAGAACACTCACACACAGACACTCTGCCACCCTGCCCCAATTCTTCAGGGAAATCTACAATTAAAATTGTGCCTGTGAAGAGTTGGACTAGGAAGAAATAGAATAAATTTATTGTGTAGAGGTCCCTGTTGCAGACTTTAAAAATCTACTATTTAGGATTATAATCAATTTAACTTTCTGGAGTAGGGGGTTGGCTCCATTAAAAAGAAAATAAAAAAGTTATCAGCATTAAATTTAGTTATTGGGGTGTTGTAACATCTATTTATCACAAGTCTATCCATCCCACAACATAAATACAATTCCCAAATAATTTTTGTCCTTTCTAGACTGTGTAGATATAATGAAATGCTTTCTGCCATCATCAGAACCTGTTGCTCCTTTCATAGCAGCACCAGTACATTCTAAAATTGAACATTTCTTAGAAAATGCTACAACCTGTTATGGTTTGGAGGAATTGCTGTGTAAAGTTGTTTTGGTTTTGGTGTTTTTTTGTGATGTCTGCAAGTTAGAGAGCAATGGCTTTGGGAATGAGGATTGGGAAAACATGTTGTGGGAGCAGCTGGCACCAAAAAAGGCACAATCAGTGAAGTAGGGAGCTAACACCATAGCTGATTGTATCAAGAGCTGATGATAAACCTCGGTTCATCACATATTTCTCAAGTTCTGTAACTCCACTGAAATAGTTGAGCTGTAGTAGCGTTGACCTAGGTCAGAAAATACTATTTCTTGTTCTGCTTACACATATATTAAATTTAATTCAAAGTATTAAAACATTTTTTAAAAGACTAGCAAAGACTTTTGAGAAGACTCATAATGGCTTTAACTAGTTAACTATGAAAACACATTTAATCAAAGTGCTATCTCAGGTAGACAAGAAGTGCAGCCAGCAGGAGGACACAATGGGTTCGGTTTCCATGGAAATTTGCTCAAAGTAAAAGGAAAGGCAAGCATTTCGTCTATAGATAAGTTAGTAAAATATTCTTGAAAACACTGTGAAGTCAACTAGTCTGCTATTAAAAAAAAAATCAATGAAATGCAATAGAAATTTTATAACTCTATACCTGTAAAAATAAGCAGCATAAATTTCTAGAGACAAAAGGAGCAAGGGAAGGGTTCAAAACTGTACCTGTTAATAAGTTTGCTTAGTAACAGGCACAGTGTGCTGAGTGAACCAAAGCTGTCTTTCCAAAGTCCTATTTTTAGAATGATCACTGCATTCTGCAAGCTCATCTATGACTTCACTGGTAAAATCAAAACACTACCTGGCCTGAAAAGAGTCAAAAATGATGAGGATTTTTATGACTACATCTACCAATATAAATGAGGAGTTTATGATGTTTTTTACTGATCATCATTTTATACCGGTGATATTTGGATTAAAAAATTCAGGAGTCCTTAGTTTGAGAGTGGAAACAAGTGATTTTTAATAAAGGACACAATTGCTGTTTGAATATATTAGCAAAAGGGGGGGGGTAATATTTTATTGTAATCAGCGTTATATGTATGCTTGGATACAATATTCAATAATGTGTATTTGCATCAGTATTCAGACTGTTTATTTGGGCTTTTTTGTTGCCTGTCTGGAGTCTGAAATACCCTAAGGGAGTCAGAATGAAGTCTTTTACAAACAAGGTCTGTATCAACTCAGCTATTGGTCAGCATCATTAAGAAATATAAATATCTTCTTAGTAAACTAAACAGCCATTAATCCAAAGGCAAAATTCCATAAGCAAAAGCTGTAAGAGGTGATTATTAAAACTCAGTTTAATTTCAGTGAATCACAGTCCTTCTGAAGTCACCTCTGCTGCCTGCTGGCTGTACATTAAATTGCATGTCAAATCAGCCAGTGTCTTTTGTGACATTGACATATTTCAGAGGTAAATTCTTCTTATTAATATCTGTTGAATGAAGGATTTATCATGAAATTTTGAGCCTTCGCTCAAGCCTCTGTGAAGCAAACAGGTAATTCCTGGTGACCTTAAGTCCATGGTACAAGCAGTACTGGTATAAGCCTTCCTTCATTATTTCTTTCATTACTGAAGCAAAGCAATCATTTGTGCTCTATTTTCATTTCCTGAAACCTACTGATTTCCAGAAAGTCTCAGATGTGATAAACATAATAATTTCAGCTGTAAATGTTAGCTCTTACTACTTTGTCCACTAGAGGTTTGTTTTCCTCTCATTTTCAATCATATAAATGATGAGTCTTTCATATGGGACAATGTTAACATAAATCCATAACAAGTAATTAGATCTATAATATTCTTGCAGAGATTTTGCCATTTAAGTTAGCTACACTGGAAGGTAGCTAACAAGTTCCTGAGATTTATGTAGTAATTTTCTTTTGCTTTTACGGTCTGATCCAGATTCCACTGAAGTTAATGCATGTTTTATCATGCCAAGAGCAGTTGGCTTAATGGTTTAGGAGTGAACTTATTAAAAAATAATAATAATAATAGTAATAAAAAATTAAAGAATCATCTTGTTTTTGTATTAAAGTAGCATCATATTAAGGAAATAATTAGGCTTGATGAAACATTATGAGTTTGGCAGTCAAATGCAAGAATCATTTCAGAATAAGAATTCTATTTTAAAGATAAACAAGATCATTGTTAGTCAAAGTAAAATAGTGCTAAGTCAAAAGAAAGAGTTGAGAATTTGGCTGACTTTATTGTTTTTTATCTTTTGGAAGGCACTGGGACTTTTGTTAAAACAGATCTCTCTCTACCTGAAAAACACCTTCATGCAAACATTTATAGTGTCACTTTGTGACTGGATATTTCCTTCTAGTCTTACAGCAATTACAACATTAAGTAGATATAATAATGAATAACACATTGTTAGCATGTGTACCACACAGAAGCCTTGTGGATCTGTGAAAGCATGGAGCATCCTTCATACAATGACAAAAAAAGCATTTTATCTAATATATTTCCTAATGCTGAAATAAACTGCTGTGCAATTGCCTGGCATTTGGCAAGCAAGAAGCACAGTTCCTACAATGCTGAGGATATCTTAGTTATGATGCTACTGTTTTAGATCATCCAGAATGTGTGTGTCATATTTATTCCTGAAATGCTTCCTCTGAAGAGCTAAACTGCTATTTTAATTACCTAATGCAAATTCCCCCCCAATCAAAAACAAGAACAAACTAACCTCTCAGATGCAGATAATGAGAACAAATCAATAATACCATTGTAAAACAGTACCAGCTTCGGGAGACAGATGCACAAGTAAATAGGTCCATTTGTTTTGAAATCCTTCCTGAACATCATGACTCATCTTCTGGTTCTATTTTGGGCTCTGTCGTGTGTCTCTGTGTGTGTGTGTGTGTGTGTGTGGCTGAGGTCACACAAGCCAGTAATCCAAGCAACTGAAGCAGTGTGTGTTGTCAAAAAGAACAGTTTATTACGTGGATTTTCTGTATAGAAATGTCTTTTCAGCTCTGCCTGTTCATAAAAGGATATGAGCAATAATCTACCTTGTCTGCAATGATTTAAATCTTCTTACTCAGAATTGGAACTACCTTCAAATTCCTTCTCTAGGTTGCATCAAATCTGACCCTTTATTTTCAGGGAAATCAGGTAAAACCGGTTAAGAGGTTTTTTGATTTCATCTGGAAAGCAGTGTGGGAGGGGTCAGAGAAATAATATATATTTAAAATAGAAATAGATTTCTAGGCTTAGATAGTAGCTTTTGCTGTAATAATGCCCTCAGGAGACTAGAAGGGTCACTTTTTATGCATTCATCCATAATTAAGAAAATTCAGTATGTATGCAGTAGATGAAAAGCATGATCATGAGTGCTTTTTTAGTTTGGGTGTTAAGTTTGAGGGCTGCAAAGAGTGCAGAACACTAATGTTCAGCGGCTGGGACATCTGCACGGAGCTGTCAGGCTGGGGCTCCTTCAGGGCACATGATGAGTCATCTGTGGCTGGCAGAGAGTGCTGCTCAGCAGGGCGAGCAAATCCCCCTGGCCAGAGCCCCTCCTGCCCGAGAGAGCAGATCTGCTGGGAAAGGAGGGAGAGGAGATGCCCACCATTCACACAGAAAATGCTGTGCTCTCTCCGGTTTTTAAGATTTTCATTTGCCCTTATGAGAGCTGGGAATATTGGTGGATTTCAATACAAATCTCTGGATGAAATGATGACAAGCTCCTAAAGTCAGTGCGAAGGATAAAGATCCACTAGTTCCAACAGGGTACTGTCACTCTGCACTCACTGCTTCAAAGCAATCCCTGGTTTTAGATTTGACAGTTTTGGAATTCCAGGGACAGTATTGTGTTACAAACATGAAGAAAATAAAGCCTGTGAGCCATACTATGCAGTAAAAATTCTGGGCAGTATATATCTGCCTCAGATCCTAACTTTCAAAGACTTGGTTGGCAGTTTGATTTGGGGTTTTGCTGCTGCCAATTACCTATTTTATTTTTGAATTTTTATTTCATTCTTTTTCCACAGAACTCCAAAGTCTTTTGTAGTATGGAGAGCTACTACGTTTTCTAGCTTAATTAGGATGGGGATGGGTGTTTTTTAAAACATTAAGATTTCTAGATCCATTAGGGGGCTTCAGCAGACTCTGACACAAATAATCTCTAGAATTAATTCTTTTCACCAGTGTCCTGAAAATAATGTCCAAGGGGAAGAAAGTAATCTTACGGCTAGAAACAACAGACCCAGCACTCCATCTGCCTTCTGACCTGTTAAGATCTCTCACCATTTCATCCAAGACTTGGTGTAATGCTGTAATGGGCATCCTCATACTGCCAGAGCAAAGCTATGAAAAAACAGAAATTATTGGCAATCAACAGTAAAATAACCACTTCATAAGCTTTATGAAGTGTTTTGAACACAAGTGTATCTAGACATCTTGGAGTCAGCAGATAATGTACACAAAAAGGTATTTTTCAAACTATAGCACAAAGTTCCACGTGTTTCTTTTTCTTTTACTACATATAACCAGTCCTTTATGGTGGATGGCTTTAAAACCCTGCAAGACCTTTTCACATTAACTAATAAAACAAGTGAAGAAACAGTGGTTATATTTTTCTGATCGATGCTCCTGATGCCTTATGAAGCTACCTAGAACAGTGTTAAAGGAATAAAGTAGATATTTATTAAAAAGGCCTTCAAAGGACACACCCTGGGCAGTACAAGAGCCAGGCCATGGCTACACCCAAGGAGGATGATGGGTCACAAGTTTTCACATTTTTATAAGTTTTGGCCCATTTACATATTGGGGTTAATTGTCCAATTACAGCTTCAGGTTATGAAGTCCCAGCCTCCCGGATTGCTCTCCTCAATTTGCTGCTTTTATACTTTTTGGGCCTGAAGCTGCAATGATGTCCTTGGTTCACGGGCTGGAAAAGAATTTTTTGTCCGACTAAACTGTGAAGAGAACTTGCCAGCACATTACATGCAGTTCAGAGTTATATACTAATGCAGTACAGAATCTGGAAAATGTGAAGCTAAAACTTAAGGCATCAGTACAGAGAAGTGGTCTAAACATTTCCTGAAGAAAAGCGGGTATTTGCAAAAGATTTATGCTCCACATAAACTCCTACCTCTGCCACATACAAGTGAATGTATGGGCGCTGTGTCTTCCAAATTCTGCCTAATTTGTCTCATATATAACTGTTACAAGAGGCTCCAGTATCTTGAATACTTCTGGTAAGAAACTTATCAAGGAGTCTAAACAGACAGTAAAACCTGGTAAATTCTAATTGGAACAACATATGTTGTTATCAAACTAGAGGTATTAAACATACCCACGTTTATTCATCTGGAGCAAAGTGACCTCAACAGCATACACAGCAGCATTCAAAGAAGGGAAATGTGCAAAATATCCAATTGATTACTGTTGTCTTCATTTTGTGGCTGTAGCACCATTAAGTCAGCTGGATAGCTTCTTTCATGTGTAGGAACTCATTGGCTTGTGGGTTAACTAGCTATGATTCTCCACAATGTAGTCTTCACAGGAAAATGACTGGCAGGTATCAGTAAACCCTGCTTTAAAAATAAAAATAATTGAAAGAATATACTTCTTCTAAGGTATAAAAAAAATCAAAATTACCTTGCCTAAATTCCAATTTACCTAAATATCCTTATGTACCAAGATGTACAGACCAGGTTGCGTCTATGGCACAGATATAAAAAGATCTAATCAGGCAAGCCAATAAGAGCTTTTGCTTTGGTGTTTGGTGAGGTTTTCTTTGAGTCCAGACCATAGTGCTTGCTTACACTGTGGCAAAGCTCTGGCATTTTAATTAATGCAAATCATAGACAAGTTGTAACACATGACAATGAGCAATGGAAGCATAAACTCCTGTTGTTGCGTGTTGCTCTCTACTATGGAAATTTGGAAGCTGCAGTACAAAGGAATCTGCTGAATTCTATAAGAAAATGAAAAAGTAGAGATTTTTTTCAGAAATATTGAATGTCAGTTAATAGGTCCACTTTTCTCTCAAGGGAGAATAGATTTTTCTTCTGTAAAGATTTATTTTATATCCTCACAGTGTTCAGAACTATAAATTTCATACAAGGGACTAGGTTGGAATTTACAAATTACTATAGCCTTTTATTGTGTTTTATGCACTTGTCAAACCAGAATGGCTACTGTAACTGAAGTAATACAGTAGTCATTTTCTACGCAATTTGATTTAGAGAAATCTAATGTCTGTGGAGAACTTAATACGGGATTGAGCATTAATATTATTTCCTGCTCTTTTCTGGTTTAGTGTCTCCCTTCAAACACAAGGTTCATTGACATTCTCCCAGTCATGCTCAAGGTTATTAATTACGTGATTACTGCCTACCTTCAACTCACTTTTGGAGAAATTGCAGTCTCAGGCAGTTACAGTATTTGAAAAGTCCTTCAACAATTTTAAAGTTTTCTAAAAATATATAATACTTCTTCAGCAGTATCTAAAGCTCTGGATGCTGTTGAGACACCCTGCTGCTCCCACCTTGCCCCACATGAGGAGCTGCAGTGCTAACCCCCAACAGCACAGCTGGGCCTTTGTTCCACATCCCTGATGGCAAGAAAAGTTTCCAGGTTTGCCATGGGCCTCCACACCAATCTTATCCTTTTGATGTGTGATTTTTATTCCAATACTCTTAAAGCTATTTCTTGAAATGGATTTGTGCTAAAAATAAAGACAATTGAACCCGAATGTGCCAGAACTCTATAGGTTTGATTTGCAGGGAACGTGCCTTTCTGCACTTTTGTGATTTTAAGATGAAGTCTCCTGACATTTGATGTTTAAGTAAATGACCTGTCTCTTGAAGATTGGTGATTGTAAGACTTTCTACTTTCATTTAGGTGAAATCTTTAGGCCTTTTACTGCATGGTAAAGTTTGAAAAGCTATTCTGAGTTCACTTTACATTTTCGGAAACAAAACTAGAAACCTTCAAACTAAAAAGTAACTTGAGGTTCAGGATTGTTAGGGTTTTTTTTCTTAATAAGACTGCTTTTTGTTTGGTGGAGTTTAGGGCTCTTTTGAGGCTCTGGATTTCTTATTTTCATTTCGGACTGTGGCACATTTTCTAAACACAGACCTTTTGTCACTGTGGTCAGTGAATCAACAATGGCAACTGTTGAAAATTCCTTTCAAGATCTGTTAGATCATTACTTCTTATTAAGTGAGGCTTTAATTATAAGAGTTAGCATAAAATATGGATTAAGCAGCTAACCAGGGATACCTTTGTGAAAATTAATGACATTAGATGTTTCAGAAACTGAATTAAATGAAAATGCATTAGGTTTGTCAGATTAGCTCTTTGCTCTTGACCAAAATACCCTATCTATAACAATATAAGTATTTTTAATTATAAAAAAATGGGGTACAGATGTCCGACAGAAAAAAAAATGTAAGTGTTGGAAGAAAAGGAAAACAGAAAATCCAAGTAGTCCTTTTCAGCAATATCAATATCAGAAAGCTGATAACATGGAGAAGTCAGAACTCTTGTTGCTGACACAAGGCAAAGAGAGGCTGCCATGTTGCAATAAAATAAATTTCTGCTCCAAGGGATTTTTTTAGCTGGAGATGTTTTACTACTTCACAGAAATAAAGTATTGCAAAGTGCAAAATACCATGCTGTATAAACACTTAAGAGCTATAGTAACTTTTGACAGACCCCCTGTAATAATTTTCTACAACTTCCCTCATCCTAATTACTAAATTTTGAATGCCACAAGTTGGTGGGAGATGTCTCCTGGATGGGGAAAAGGGCAGAAAGGACCCCAACCTGCTCTAAAAAGGTCAAAGAGGGAAAATTTCAAGTTTGGAGGGGAATTCCTCTATCAGATTTA